CGCTTTCAGGCATCATCCTGGAAGAAGACACTCACGTGCTGCCCACTGAGCCGGGGACTGCATCAGGGTCTTCAGCTTCGCGTCAACGATCGTGGCTTGCTTGTCCTGTCTTCGATGTCGCAAACATCTGAACAAGATGAAAGCGTACTGCAAGACTTACTGTTGCTAGCAACGTGCATTCGCCCAGTAGATGCTCTCACATGTTGGCAACTAAGCTGAAATATCACGGGCTGCCGATCCTAAACTCACATTTATGTTGGCTGGCACGTTTTTGCTGCGTCAGTGCTGGGCACCTTCTCCAGAGACAAGCAGACCTGGCCGTCAAACGGCCCCAACCTTAAAGCGCAAGACAGCTGCAGGTGATTGTCAAAGTTTGGATGTTGTCAGTGTGCTCCCTGTCAGTCGTAGCAGGGGATGTGCCGACCATCATCGGCCTAGATGCCACTTCTTTCCCCCTCACGTATACTGGTGGTGCCCAAGGCTATTTACAGAGTATCGGACTGCCGCCCTGTACGCATATGCAAGGCCACTACCCTACAGCATTCCCTTATGCAAGAGGCAGAAGTCCTTTGGTCTGTCCCTACAAGCATACATGTGAAGTTTGCTTGTGCTCCCAAGAGTCTGTGCACACATTGCATGGATGCTTACTCAGTCCACAGTTCGAGGGTAAATCTCAGTGCGCAACTAAGCCCTCGACATTTCATTCCAGGAGTTGTGCCGAACTTCAGTCGCCCGCAAAAAATGCTGCCTTCGCTTTTCTGACTTATTCAGCTATCGAATGCCATTCATTCACTGTGCACTCAACACAACCTTAAACTGCACGTGGATGGCTCAGGTCACTTCCCTATGCAGAGAGGCAACGGCTTCCTGCACAGATCAATCTAAGATAACTTACTCAGTGAAATGCTTGCTTCCGAGCATTGCAAAACACTGTCAGGTTTTCCTCGCCAATTTTCTCATCCTTTAGGCAACTTTACAAAGCTGTGGTAGGTCTATGCCGGGAAGGACCTGGCGGGATCAAACTCAGAGCTGCTTCTACCTCTATCTTGGGGTGCCCCAATCAAGGCCGTTTCTTTACAACTTCAGAAATGTTAAATACGTTAAACGGTGGACGGAAAGCGGGACGAGAACATTCTAATGCCGCGCCGTCCTTGAATTAAATTCAGGTCCCTCTTCACCACCGTGCTCTGAACACGTGTGGAGATAGAGCGTCAAAACTTAAAACTGAAATAAAGTCAGAAAGGGATTGGGGCACCAGGTGCCCATAATTCACTTGGCCTTGGCATCTAAGTCCACTTGTTCCAGAACTGCCAAACTTCGCCTTTGCCATCATCCGCGACGCCCCACTTCAGGAGGTTCCCCACTTCTTCCATCCGACGGGAGGCATCAAGATGGCACCAGGTAGACAACAGGCCCGCTTTGTCAAAGATCAGCCTCTGCAACTTCTGGTTGAACTCATCCTTCAGGGCCGATGGTACCCTTTTAACTCCTTATGACATGTCTCATCAAGACGATACCACGTCGCATGCAACAGGTCAACCGAAGACATTTTTCTTGCGTCAGGATCAGGTTGAACAATGTTCGTTGCATTATGTTCCCAGTTACGTCAGGTGCTCTGTCTGAACCTACTGGATCAACTGCCCTCAGAACGTGAACACCCCTTGGTCTGACAGCTTGGGAGATGGTGCTCCGCTTGCGGACATCAAAAGCATGCTGACAGCCAGTGCACATGGAGGATGTGAAGCATAGAGATGCGTACTGGTTGTCACCCCCCGATTTCGCACTGACCTCGCAAGTTCCGGAAGTCGTCATGAGTTTTCATGTGCAGGCAAGTCCTTGTTGTCAATTCTGCTCAGAATGTGATCCACATCCTCCGGACGAGAGGCCTGCCGATCGTGACAGTTGAGCCCAAGATTGGCGCAGATCTACTCAGAAGATTTAGAGCAAAATCAATGTGAAATTGTAAAAAAGATTAAAAAAAGGAAGCTAGGACCCTATACCAGTATCTTCAACCCGCACTAGCGCGGACATCCAGGCTTTGTGAACACTCAAAGTTGAAATGCCGTCCCCTGACACCGAGCCTGCATATCCTGCACTCTCAAGTTGCGCAGGCTGCCAGCCCGTTGCTTCAAGATCGGCATCGAGTGCATCTTGACATGTTGCTTGAGCTTCGTCTCATCTGCTTTCACCAATTCTGCAACACACCAAGCTCGGCTGAAAAGCCCGAATGAGGTGTCCACAGCAACCACTTGTGCAAAGTCCGGGTTGCCGGCCGCAAGTAAGGCCATCATGTCATCGAACTTGTTCCTTGGCTGGTTGTCTAACCATGCAGGACGTGAACAAGCACTCCAATACTAGTTCATGATATTCTGACCCAGCTGTTTGCGGAAACCATAAGAGTGCGAAAGAACGCTCAAGCTCACCCTTGGCCAGCTGAGGGGCATTTCACAGCCGATGCTTTCACCATTCCCTGCCAACGGTGGAGTGTTGTTGAACATCTTTGGCAGGCCGCAGTCACAGACCTGGTGCACCTGGCCTGTCAAGGAATCCCGATCCTGCTTGGGATTTCCACCGCAAATTCCGGCATGTTGGTTCACGGAGAAGGCGCAAATCCAATAGACATTGTCAGCAGTGCCTTTCTGCTCTAGCAGTGTTTCAAGGATTGATGCGTCACTCTCCAACAAACTTGCCACCAAGTCAAAGCTTGTCTCCTGCACCGCATCAGCAATCACTGCTGCGATGAGATCGCAGAACAAGTTCTGCCAGCTGTGGGTCACCATCTTCTCAGCCCTGCGAGGCCCCTCCAGCTCGGCATAGGCGCAGCGCATCTCCTTCGTGCAAGGGATGATGGCCTGTCGCACCACATCATTCGTAGTATGCACCGCAGCCCGGTAATGTGGCATGAGATCTTGGCCCAACTTCTGGTAGAAGTGAATCAAGGACCTCGCAGTGATACCTCGCCGCGACAGGCTCGTGACCTTCTTGCGCCATTCCGCCTGAGTCGTCACTGAAGGAAGCTCAGCTACTGTAACTAAATCATGAACACTGACAGGTATCATCACCGTATGTGTCTGTAGCCCAGAGAGCACCTCAGACCAAGCCCCGCCTCCATGCCACTGCGCCGGGTGTCTGAAAAGTGTTCTTGCACTCTGCAGATGCATGCAGAGATCCAGTCCTGCAAACGATGAAAATTGCCAATAATGCACGCCAACAGGGCCAAGACCAGCAACAAGGGGCAGAGAACGATGCTGACCTTTGCCACGTTGAAGCCTGAGAAGAGCAAGCCAAAGACTAACGCAGAGAGGATTGTGAAGCCAAACTCCTTCTCTTTGCTCATCCCATGTGCATTGGCCAACAACCAAGCTCCTCCGATGTTCACCAGCAAAAGCAGGGCACGAATGTACCCCCCCGCTTTCGATTTGGGATCAAGAACATCCGTCAGCAAGGCTACAAGAGGGCCGAGCAGAATGGTACTGAGCCAAATGACACGCAGACCCCAGCGCTCCATGCTGATGGTTCTCTGTGCCATCTTAAAGGCTTCATAGCAGGCCTCTGAGCTGCTGGAGATCTCCACGACTTGCATTGTGCCCTTCAGGCGTTTCGCAATCTGCTTGCATGCGGTCATAATCTCGCGGTAGACGAACAGGATGTATAACCAAAGAATCTGGACAATGCTTTGAGACACGCTCTGGCAGATTCGCCATGTAGGGTTGTAGTACATCACCATCTTGTTGTCATTGTCACGTCCGACCCACAGCGATTCCAGCCACAACATGGTGAAGACGCTACCGAGTGCACACATGGGAGCGTAGGCATATCCAACTCGGCGAGCTCGACGCTTCAGGTCTGGTATGGGGATGAACTCAGTACCAGCCGTAAGCTGCAGTGCATCCAAGCGCTGTAGTGGGAGATAGAGGACCCAAACTGCTTGGATGGCACGACAAAATGCTTCTGCAACTGCGAAGAACATCAGGCCCATCAAGTGCTCCTTCACATACTCCACAGACCTTTGCTGACCAGTTTGTGCGAGGCCGACGATCCAGGTCAAGAGCAAGAAGCCAGCTGTTGAGCTGGCATGTCGTGTGCTCGCTCTGGTCCATAGGTAGGAGCCAGAAAATCCTGCGATCAAGCTGGAGCACATGAGGAATGCCACAGATATGTCATGGAATTCAGGCACCCCCAGCACGGTGGAGGAGATAGCCAAGACCACTAGGAACCATACAGCATTTGCACAGAAGCGTTCCCACTTGGGCTTCTTCTCGAGCTTGAAGTTCAATTCTGTCTCTTCGGCTTTGGCAGCCTCTATGTCTTGGAGTCTCAACTCGTGCAGGCCCAGGACACGTGGTTGATCGGGAGGCACGGCTGCAGCCGACGCGGTGTCAGGGCGCTCCGCTTCCGCACTGCTCTGAGCTCCCATGACTTTCAACCAATGGCTGTGTCTTATATCACAACATGTACCGAAGTGCACAGCGTGTGCCAAGTGAAAAGGCAAGCGAAGCAACAACAAATGCACCGAAGACACGCACGGCCTGTCATCTCAGAAGTTGTGTCAGTGGTAGAGATGCCACCATGCGTGGTACCTGCATGATTGCCACAATCTGTTGCAATTCTGGAAGCCAAGAGCAATCGCATCCAGGCATTGCAACAAAGGCTGATGGTCAAACAGCTTTTGATAAGCGCTACTATCTGTTGCTGGCCCTGTGCCAGTAGCATGCATTCCATAGCTAGTTGCTCAACACGGTGAGCTTTGCAGCAGCGTAGAACAGCAATGAAACGACTGCCCACTTTACCCGAGACTAGAGGTGAAACGATGTGCCTGCATTCTCAACTGAGAAGCACGCACAACAAGAGATCGAAGCCAAGTTAAGTCCGAAACGATGCAAGCAGGCGCAAGTGTAAGAAACTGACGCGAAGCTGAGGGACGCGCCTGATCTGATGATGCGGGTCCGGCTGCTGGTAGCTCGAAGCCATAGCAATTTTCCCTGAGGCCTGTGCGATGGCAAAGACCGAGGTCGAAAGGCATCGAAATCAAGCTAATCGACTTCTGTTCAAGGTCAAGCTACGAAACACGCAAACGGGGTGGGAAGGTCGCAAGGAAGCAACAATGTGTAAAACGCACCGCTTCTGAACGCACGGGTTCCTTAAAGCTGTCCACCTGTCCCCGCGAAGCGTGAAGCATGAATTCTGAGGCACAACAAATTTGGATTCTGCAGAGTGCTGCTGAGGTCGTTGCATTTGCAAGAAGGGACGGCAGCGCACAAGCACAGGATCCTTTCTACGGCATTCCGTGCTACTGCATGGGCCTGCAAGCCATGCTGCATCACATGATCGCCGTTGTAACCCATGGCATGCAAGGATAGCCAAAGAACGGACATTGTACAAGCTGATTGTAGACAACATGCGCACTGACAGGCCTCCCGCATAGGATGCGGATGTCTTCTCCAGCATGTAAGTCTCACAGCAAACCGGGGCAAACTACAACTTCTTTTTCTAATTTCATGCGCAGCGAAGAAAAATCGCGAGCTTTGACAGATTCATTCCCCTTAAGGTGAGCAGCTGCTTTTTCACAACTGGGAATCTGTCACAAAACTTGCACCTACACATGCCATGCGCCCAGCGCAAGCTGGGCCACCTGTCCCATAAAGTTGCTGGCTTCGCGCTTGGGTTCCAAAGCGCCAAAAGGCGTCAGCGACTCTCAAAGTCCGCTGCCGCACGCGAATTACCCATGATTGTGCCCGTCAAAAGAGTAACTTCGGGCAATATAAGACCATGCCTTTGCCTCCCCCTCAGATCAGGAGATTGCCTTCTGCGCTTAGTCGTCGGCCGGGGCGCAACTGCACAGAGCATCCTGCCTTTGGGAAGGTGCCTTGAATGTTAGTCTTAAGATAGCAGAAGTTCTGGAAGTAGGAGAAGCCATCACATCTGTCTTCAGAGCGGCATGCGCTGCAGCAGACAGACGAGTTTGGCGCGTACATGGATCTGATGAGGACTCCACTCAAGTCTCGGCCGTCAACTGGAGCATCAAAGCCAGCGCAGTTGCCTTCGACCTTCCGGACTCGGGCCTGACAGCCGGCCTTGAAGTAGCTTCCCATGAGGCTTGACTTGAGGTAGCACATGTTGTCGAAAAATGCGAAGCCCGCGCACCCAGCCGTGTCGTCGCAGACACCTGAATCAAGCAGTGTATGCTCAGCCGGAATGATTCTTTGGTTTAGGTTTTGCGAAGCTGTGTGATTGATGCTACAGCTTTCGAACCACCAGCTTTTGCGTTGGAGGAGGTGCAGCTGCACTTGACTTGCTAGCGTGCGATGCTTTGTCTGCTCTCCCCTCCTGCATTGTGAATCAGGAGGCCACGCATGATGATTGAAGCGGTGAACAATCAGAGCTCCATGAAGCATCTGATGAGAATTGTCTTACTGTGGCAGCATGCAGTGCCGAACTTCCCTCCCCCCCGGTGCTTGGCAAACGTTTTACCAAGCGAAGGATTCATGCCCGGCAGGCGCCGTCAAGTAGGAGCTGCGGCATGCATGCGAAGGTTGCAGCGTGTACAAAATGTGTGTTCAGTGTTGATGAGACTCTTTTTGCGCAGGCCGTGGCGAGACCATCAACAGGAGATTGGCCCCAAGCAATCGTGAGGGACATCGTTGTCAAGTTAGTGTAAGCTTCCCCAAGCAGAGCCTACGCAGGTGCAGTCAGAATTTTTCTGTACTCCGGCCAAAAGAAAAACCTCAAAACCTCCTGCTGCGGCTGGTCCCGCGACCCGCCCTTTGTCCTGTGAGACTTCCCCGAACCTTCCCCTGGTGGGGTCCAGCCCCAAAGGCAGCAAATTAGGTCCTAACAAAGCTTGGCTTTGCACTAGCAAGCTGTGAACACACTCGACGAATGTCAAGCCTTGATCTAGCCCCTCGTTTAGTTTTAGATGGGCAACTGCAGCAGGTCTCCGCGGATGTTGCTGCAAACTCCAGTAGCATCTTTCCAGCCAGGTCTGTCTGCTCCTTCAAAGCCGTTTGAAACAGTCAGATGCAACCTGCCCCTTGTGAGCCTAGGATGTCTGGCATTCTTGTTTAATCTTGTTCATAGGCACCAGGCCTCCACTGTGTAGGCTCCGCATTGAGGCTGTGGCTCTGGCTTTTCCTGCAGCCTTGCATGGCCATGCTGGGAATCACAAAATGGAGCGGCACAAAACAACAGTAACAATGGATAGCGGTAGAACCATAAGCATTGTTGAAGCACGTCTGAGGGATTGATATTGCTGAGGGCACCTGCTATCCGACTGCTATCCAGTTAAATCCAGGAACTTGGATGTGGTGGCTGGTTCTTCCGTCGCTGACACCTCGGATGTCGTAGGAGCTTGTGTCAAGGTCGTCTCCGGCGCCGAAGTGGAGGCTTCCGCAATCTCTGTCGTTGTCGCGGATGCCTCCGTTGACTCTGTGACAGTGGTGCTAATGCCAGATGTGACGGAATCTGTTGTGGTCGCCCCAGCTGTGGTTTCGGCAGCTGTGGTTTCGGCAGTTGTAGCCGCTGCAGTTGTGGACACGAGAGTGCTGGAGACAGCCTGTGTAGTCGTTGTCGTCTCTGCGGAGGAAGTAGATATTTCAATGGGTTGTACGCAAACACCACAGGCCATCTTGCAGTGCACCAACATGTACCTTGGGTTCCTCTCGCACCAGCCATCGCCCGCCCACCTTGAACAGAAGTTGTTCCTTGTTGCTTGGAGGACACGTAAAACAATGCTGGGCGCAGCCCTTTCGTTTTCCAAATTACTACTTGTAATTCCCAGCTATTGTGTCAGGTCAAGGATAAACGTAGGTTGTTGCAGAGGTCAAAACATTCAAAACAAACCGCGCTTATTTGCTTGCTCGCTTACGAGCAGGCCACCGGTTCAGGCATGGGTTGCCCATCTCATCAAGGGCACGGGCCAGATGTACTAGCACCACCATCATCCACAGCTGGCAATTCATGGTGAGAGCTGCACGTGAAATCTTCGGATCTGATTGGGCCTAGCTCTCGAAGCTAATGGCTACAGTGCAATTCTGCTGCAACGCTGCACGAGGATTAATGGCATCCAGCGGGACAGACACGAGCGCTTGGACCACTTTATTTAATCCAACGTATCGACTTCGACGAATGTGAAGCGCTGCTGTAGCTCGCTTGGCAGATCAGAGATGTTCTTGATGAAGACCTCACATCTGGAGACCACCCTGCACCCTTCAGCTCATTCGAAACCCACGCAGCAGCACAAGATATCATTTGCACAGCGGCGCAAACATCTTGCGAGCCATATCCCGTTATTTCACATTTTGTTGCTATCTCTCCGAGATGCATGCTACCACCTAAGCCAGTACTCTCAGAACCAAAGCCCCAGTGAGACCGGCCCGCAATGCTAGCCAAACAAAGTTCCGGACCCAGTGAAAATTATGATTGCAATCAACTTTTTATCTTTATTTATCTTGTTGAAATCTTTGAGAAGGTCAGCCAAAGCAGGTGATGAGAGAGAGAAAGAGAGCGAGAGAGAGAGAGAGAGAGAGAAAGAACAAGAGAGAAGGAGATAGAGAAAGATGAGGGAGGGAGGAGTTGAGGAGGAGTTGTTTCGGAGGAGGGAGGGGGGAGGAGGAAGGAAAAAGGAACAAAAGGGTGTTCAGGCACCATCGTCACTTGGCTGGCTGCAAGGATCAACTGGCGTCACAAACCAAGCGCCCTGCCTTTGATGACCTGCCGAGATCGTACCCTTCGCGCTTGCCTGCGCAACGGATGAAAATACCGACCTCCTGGCCTTTAAAAGGTATGGCTGCTCTTGCTTGACATGGTTCCGCGAAGCAGTCCCACGTATGCCTTTGGTAACGATGGGCAAGTTGCCTGGAGGCAGCTCCTCCACGGGAGCACTCTGAAAGCCGCGTTCCACAAACCATTGCCTGCTATAGATGCAGGTGAAGAGGGACGTCCACAAGCTTTGGACTGACATTTGCTTTGCTGCCCTGGAGCTCTTGCTTTCAATACTTCAATACGTGTAAGCGAGCCTTCTGCACAAGCACTTCAAGCATGTATGATGAAACACCTTTTTCATGTACCTAATTGGCGAGCACGTAATAGCACATGCTCATCAAACAGCCGGGCTGGCATGGTCTGCGTGGTAAGCAGGAATAGCTGCTGCCTCAGCACCAAGTCAGCAGCGGCTGTCGCACCACTGACTCAGTTGGGAGTTCTTGTATGAGCCTTCAGCCTCAACGACTTGAAAAAACACCAGGCATCCAAGCGTTGCGAGCAAGCTTGTCTTCCGCACACAGGAGAGAATGTGAGGCATTCACGAGCTGGCCCCAGAAAACATGAGGGTATGCTCGGCACTTGCTGGTAATATCCCATCACGCTTCGTTTGTATGAAAGCACTCGTTTGGATGAAAGCACGACACTGGATGACACCTTCGTGGAGCCTTCCTCCACTTTAACTGAGGTAGGCTCTTGACAAAGGTCATGGGCTTTCGCGTTTCTAGCCTTCACTGCTAGTCACTGCCGACCTTTTCTTTGGTCGTCTCTTTTCTTAGGAAGCCTTGCTGGACCGCTGTCTTGATTGGCATTTCGCGCTGCAGATTTGTTGTTGACTTGGTTGCTTGGGCAGATATCCCCAGGTCCCTTTCCGAGGCGGCATCCGCAATGATCTGCCATTTCACGCTGATAGCATGTTGCAAGCAAACGGTTTGGACTGCTGTCATGTCCGTTCAACGAATGCCAGTGTGAGAGGCGGGCACGCCAAGCAGCCTGGCAACCTGCTCAACATATGAGAGGAGCACGGCGCCATGACCTCCAATAGTCTGAAGTTCTGATATCTTCATACAGAACGGTTTGACTTGGAGATTGCGGGTGGAGGAGGGGGGGGGTGGATCCTTGAAGTCTATTGCAGCTTAGAAGTTGGTCATGCATATTCATTCATCGCTTGAAGTGCTGGCGACATGCCATGGGTGATTTGACTGTCGGCAGGGCCTGGGCACTTGCACTCGAAGAATCCTTTAGAAGCCAGAAGCATCTCAGCAGCTTTTTTTCCCAGGCGTTTGGATCCAAAAAACCTACACCTTTCTGATGTGTAGGGCGTCATCAGCCAGTTTGGCAGTTACGAGCTTCTGGCCTGAAAGCTGTCCCTCCAATGCCGGTTGCTATCTTTCAGTGCTAAATAGTACCAAAGGCCTTCACAAGACACAGGCATCGGCCTGAATACTCACAGCTGTGGTGAAACAAAAGCACATTGAACGCCCAACCTAGCCAGACTGCCTGCAAGTTGAAAGCAACTGACACATGCTGACACGGAACCCCCTCGTTGGGCTTCAAGATCTATGGGAGCGACTGTGGACATTGTGAAGCCATGACGCTGAAGCATTGTGCTCGTGCAGATGTTCCTGCTTGACTGAGCTGCTTCTGGCGATATCATACTGTGTGCTTGCTCTCATCACGAGTGTTTACCTAACAAGCACTGACTCAGCTTGAAGATGTTGATGTGTTTGCCAATGAAACAGCTCACTGCTGTGGTGAAACCGACCACCGCGAATTCAGCTAGCGCTCGCTTCTGGGAGAGACCCTGTCCGACTGCTGCTGCAGGCATCTTCTGGTTCACTGATGAGCAGAGCCTGTCGGCGTCCTGAATGTGTGCTCCTGATTTTTTGCCTCACTCTCTGAAGCTTGCGCGGCAGCTATACGCTGCTGTGCTAAGCATGAGGCCACAGCGGCTGCTGCAGGAACCTGCGTGGTCCCCGTGCTCGTGCCGCCCTTGCCCTTTTGCGAAGCCGCAGCAGTCCCGCTCGCTGCCGCTGCAAGTCTTGGTTTGCAGCAGGCCCAGGTTGCACCACGAAGCGGCCCCTGAGTTCCGATGTGCCCGCCCAAATCTCAAGACCCAATGCCGTGGACAGGCGCAGCGGCGGTGTTATTCCATCCATTTCTCAGGGACCAAGTAATTGAAATCGAGCCAGAACACCTTGTTGAAAGCATCTCATTTTGGGCTTGACTGCCTTACACAGATGTCTTGCACGCAATTTCGAAGCTTGTAATCAAAAGCTCTGCTATCTGCCTTTCCCTCTGCAGAGTGGGGAGATGACAAAGCAGCCCAGCCTGAGAAGAGAAGTGCAACGTCACTGGATGCATTACACGCCCATGTCATCAACCAGTGGGCCAACACTTTCTATTGCTGTGGCTTGGCCCCAAGCTCAGCCTGGCCGGCGCTGAATTGCTGCAGGCTCGCGCAACCGACGAACTTGTCCTGAGCTCTCGGACCACTTTTCGCAGTGCACAAAAGCAACAATTTCAAGTTAAAATCACATGATTGCCAAATGCATCTCAGCTGTCAAGAGATTCCAGCTTGCCTTGAAGGCTGGCTTCAGCACAAACTTTTCGAGTCACCGTGCCTTTGCCTTCCCTCGCCGGTTGCGACAGGCCGCTCATTCTATACTTGAAGGCCGTGAGTGCGGTTAACACAATACAAAAGGTGCGTTCGTTTCGTCTTGAGCTGAGTGAGCCGACGATGAACAGATTCGCGCTGACGTGTCTTGAGCAACGCGTGCGGCATGGCATCGTGCTGGTCCGGCAGTCATTCAGCAAAATCAACTAAACCCAGATATTGGCTGGATCCTGAAAGTGAGTCTGGGCAGGGCAGCCCCAACTCTTTGGCCAGAGACTGCGTGGGGTCTCCGTTTTGAACCAACTCTTGGGATTCAAATGCTCACTCCACATCAGGCCTTTTTCACCTTTCAAAGTGAAGCAGTATCACTGGTTTCACTTGGAAGGGTTCCCCGGATGTTTTCGACAGGCACATCATGTGAACAGGGGATGCCACCAAAAACTGTGCCAGGCTCGAGCTGGAAGTCTCAGGAGGAGGTAATTTATCAGCACATATCAGTACAGCTCAGGACACTCTCGGATTGCCACGGTTTGAATGCAATATATTTGTCAATAGCCGCTTGGGACAGGGTCGAAAATGGGGGCTTCACCACACTGAGCAGCTTTCATTGGCATCGGAATCCCATGCACAATTAATTAGGACATCTTCACTTAATTTCACATATTCTAGGTTCTAGGATCAAGAGACATGTCATGTCAAGAACAACAATATCAGCTTTTTGCTTGGACCTGGAATCATGCCTTTGGGGGCCTCCCAGCCGATGATAAGTTTGGCTTCAGGTGACTTATGCATTTGCATGCATTGCTGTTGACAGGGCCAGGATACAAGCCATTCCTGCAAAAGACCGGCTTCCGGCGACGACTATGCCTAGGTGCTGGCGATAAATTTCTGAGTGGAAATGGCGCCTGCTGGTCCGGTGGCAGGCTCTGCTCATCTACTGTGCGCGTCCCGTTTGCTAGCCGTTTTCAAGTTTGGGCTCGCTGACCACAAAGCAGCCTTCTCCCACTCTTCTGCTTTTGTTATCCCACCCAACGGAGGCTGGAAGTTTCGAAGGCCCTAGAGCTAGAACATGGTGTTACATCTGCAGTACAGGATTGCTGAAAGCCGCTCTGGGTTTCTGCGCAATCTGCGCAAGCTCCTCAATGCCACCACTGCCCTGCGCTCGCATGAAAAAAGGTTTGCGCTGGCGAATCTGCTTCACGGCCTTGGGCTATCCTATGGAAGTGGTACTGGCGTGTTGCCCACTGCAGGGCACAAGTCTGGAGAGGTTTGGCGAATTCTCTGATCGGCTTCCTGCTCATCATCCAGAGTTCTTGAGCCCTGACAAAATTGAACATGTGAGCCATGCCTTCGACCTGGAGATGAAAACCGTGCGTCTTTCACTGCTAGTGTGCGGAGTGCGGGCAAATGGCAAACACCCCGGGGTTCACGAGCCATAGTGGTTTGCAGTTCCTTGCGCTTGCGGCATGTGTCATCATATTCAGTAGAATAAAGTATAAAGTTGCCGTAGCTGCGCGCAGCTGAGCATTTCCCAGACCCTGTCCCTCATCAGAAATGCCTCCCGCGCACTTGCGGCCACCTGAT